CCCAAATCCTAGTGGAAATAACTAGGGAAAAAAAATTTCAGGGCCTGGAGATCACAACAGCTTCATCAAAGTTGGCAGAGTGCCAAGAAACCATATTAAACCTTGGAAAGCAACTGAAGGCGCTGGCTTCGTCAAGTGACAGCGCACTTCTTGATAATGTTTTCTTGAAAACCAGTGCTATGGCCAACCCGACTCATGAGAAGAGCTTGTTCAAACGGTCCTCTTTGCGCAGTCAAATGCAAGCTGAGGATGATACTAAATCAGGGACCCTTCACTCCTCCCAAATTGAAGAAAATAAAACTACTAGCGGTGTCCAGAAGCCACTCCCTCTTCAGTCTGATAACAGCAATGTTCCACAAGGTCCCAATGCTCCGGAAACAAATCTAACTTCGGATCAAAATGATAGAAGCAATAATGCCACAGGTGCACTGGTTATGGTGCCAGCTAAAAAACAAGGAGGATTTGCTTTACTGAGAAGGCTGCTGCTAAGAAGGAAGAGAGGAAGGAGTAAAGGAACCCAGTCCTTAGCCAAAACATGACTCTCTGAAAAGGCAAGAGAATTCTTAGGTGTGCTCCTTGCACTTGAGTTATGTACAAAGAGGAAATAAGAACTTGCCAAAATGAGTTAGTGGATTTCACCACACAAATGGTCACTTTGACGAGTTTTTATTACTTCTTGTGCCAATCTTTAACCAAGGAGTGTTTCTAAGTATCCTCTTTACTGGGACCAGGCCCATGATTTGTGTTTAAAATAATACTTGCCTCCCATGACAATCAATTATTCTGTTTGAATGTGATGATTGGTTGATTTTTAGTATGACGTGCTTTTCACTTTATAGACTAGCATCTTTGACGATTGGGTTTGGAGATTATTATTCTCCCGAGTGAGAGTCATTTAACTTTGTAAATATCGCTGGTGTACATACAAGTTGGATTAAAGATAATTGAGACTGAACTTTGGAAGAGGTTACGCATTTCTCCATAGCATTTTCAGGACTGATGAGTTGCACATATAATTTGCTGTAAATATGCACGGAAGGTCCTTCTGCAGAAAGCACACAAGTAGTTAATGAATTGCTTTACTTGGTAGCGCACACCTATTGCTTCATCATCTTACCTTTTCCACAAATCTCTGGTCTACGGAAACAATTAACATGAACTTGAGAGAACTCTCAACAAAGAAACGCAGCCCTTGAACATTAATTGCTTTAGACTGGAGCTAGACGATTGAAGCAATTATTGGACAATTTTTTTCTGCTAACAGGATAAACGGTGGATTTTTTCCTTAATAAGGCAAACAGTTGAATTTTTTGGTAGTCACATTACTACAGTGATCTTAATTAGATGCTCTATAACTATCCCCCCACTCTTGAAGTTCTTGCCTAAATTACTACGTGTATAATTTTCTTTGAATGAGAATATCATTCTATAGCTTCCACGGAGACATCAATAACAATAATCACACATGCAAAAGGTCTAAACTAAAATGTTATTCATAAAAGTTCAAATCACCTAAATAAAAAGATCAGAGCAAAAAAAAATACTGAAATTATGGTTAAAAATATTTCATTAAAATAAATCTTGTATATATGATCAAATGCATTGGAATGACCGGTAGCAATTCAATTTTTTAATGTTGTACATCCAACAAAAACGAATCATACAGAAGTCAGCTCTTTGCTATGGCATGATCCTTCATTTCTAGCAATGCATCCTCAAAGCACTTAGCAAGGAACTTGGGGTCAGGAATGACGTCTTTAGCCACCTGGATTTGCATGTCAGCCCTTCCGGCATAGCTCACCATGTTCAAAGTGAGTGCCTGAATTACAAATCATCAGTAGTCAATTTGAAGAGCATAAAGCCATAAACCTAATATTTTATCTGGAAAGGTATAAATGCAAAGAAGATTAATTGGGTTTAGGGGCTGTACATGAGGCAAGGCAGAATTCATTGCCCTCAAGAAAGTTATAGGGTTGCCGCCAAGCATAATCTCCTCTTGTGGACCAACCACATTTGAGATTGTAAATGTAGTGTTGCAAACAATCCTGTAATTTAGCAAGCAAGCAAACTGCAATATATAAACAGCATTACTTGAGCAGGATTCAGATGGTAGTTGGAAGTTTAATGTACTAAAAGATACTGGCATTTACGGGGATGGGGGAGAATTAATATGCAGACCCAGATAGATCCAAAGAATCATATATACATGTGTAAGCATGTTAGCACATTTAAGTGGGAACCACTCTTAACGTGTTCATATCTCTAGTTACTGTAATAAACCCACTTGGTGGGGACAAGATGTACCTTTGCTCCAAGATTTGACATTACAAAATCTCCAACTGTGTAAGAGAAGTAAGCCTCCAAAGATCGTTTTTTTCTGTCAATCATTGCCTTAGCTCTTCTCACATATTCTAAAGGATCAGAACAGTTACTTCCATGATATGATATTGGAAGCAAAATCATTCCAAATTTATTACCCCACCTTGCTCCTGAATTGCTTCTCATCAAATTCGTTAGATCCTGATCAGCATTAGTCATGTTTATCCAAGCTCAACATTATATTCTCAGTGAAACCTGAACAATAAATATAGAAAGCATGCACACAAGGAAATTATATTTGGGAAGAGTATACCTGCAAGCCTTGCTGTGGCCTCAAATTAACCATAGCTAACCCTGTTATCCGAATCCCATTTTTCAACCCTGAAGACAGGAAAAAATATATTGTGAATTTGACTCTGTAAACGCACACACCTCTGGCTGCACAAATAGAGAGTAGAGAGGCCGGGTACAAATGACTCACCATTTGATCCTCGAAAATCCAGGTATCTTGAGAGTCCCGACGATATGATTGCGAATAGAACATCATTTATGGTCTGTAGTATAGTGTAGATCAACGAAACACAAGTATGGAAAAATGTATTCAGAGTTATGCTTACTTACATGTCTAACTTCTACTATATAACGGTGGAAGGCGAAATCTCCACATTATCACATATTAGTAGCACTCTTTATATCAAACAAGAAGAAAGGGTTGCCTTCCCCTTATTATTAGAAAATTTAATCGGCGATCGTCCTTTGAAGGAGAGTCTTAGGCCATGGTACATTGCAAATCTTCGGAATATGTGGTGAATATCAGGTCATAACATGCTTTAAACAATATTTAAGATAAGGAGTTAAGCCCATTAAGACCTAAATACGAAGTCATGCTACATGTGACACTATATATTATATAATATAGTTTAAGCAAATGAAATTCTATAGGGAAGAAGCGCAATCGACCTTTCCCCACCCTTTCTCTAGGGAAAATCAATCACACTTGGCAATAGTAAATTGCATTTTGTATTCAATAGTCTACATATAATATCTATATACAATATAAAGTTTATAGTTGGCAAAAAAAAAGTTTATAAATCAAATAATGTGAGTTTATAGCCCCAAAAAAACTGTATTTTTATGAGGGAAGTATAAACGAAAAATAAATAGAACTTTTTTTATAAGAAAATTTGGGTTGAAAATCGCCATATTTTTATCTTCTCACCGCCCTTTGGGCAATCACGGCTCCAGCGTCTTTTTTTCAGGCCAAAGCGTCCACGGCTCTTGAGTCCGGACAAAGAAAAATTGTCCAATTGTGATGCATCAGAATGACATGGGATAATTGGATGGTCCAACACGGCAGCTTTAATTTATTAACTTTCCTTTCATGCCACAACACGCCCACGTAAATTTTTTTTTCCCCCCCCTAAAGAAAGAGTCGGGTCAAACTCTCTCAATCTCTCACCACAATTGAGACTTGAGATTCATTAATCATTATCATGAAGTCATACTCGAGTATGGTCGAACCTAGAATTAGTTATTTCAAAATTGAAGTGATTTTGTTTTTTCATTTACAAACTACAATCCTGAATTTTGCCTAATAAAAATTAAATCCCCCCAAACTGCTATTTGTGGGTCAAAATCTTTTTAATGCAGGGAAAATGACGGAGATAATTCAACATGCACCTTAAGTCTATTTCTATTTCCGTTTTATCTCAAAAAAGTCTACTTCTATTTCCGATACTTTTTTCTATTAAAAAAACTGCCTTTAATTTTTTTATTTAAAGAATTGATAATGACACAATTATAGCTGTTTTATCCAAAAAATCGCTTTATTTTCTACTTCTTTATAATTTTTCAATTTTACTAGTGGAGAAAAACAAAAGTTGCAGGATCAGCGACTTACAGCGTTGGTCACGGCTTTCTTCACCACCTTCATATCATCCAAGCGGAACTTGGCCGTCGCCATCTTCCTCGGCCAGTCCTCCACCCCTGCGCCGCCGCTTATCACCGTTCTCCGGTCACGAACCCACAAGCACCTCAATACAAAATCAATGGAAAAAATTACACAAAACCACAGCGTAACCACAAAACCCCACACGTTCCTCCAATCCCTCCAATTCCTTCCACTGCTCTTCTTCCGATCGAAAGAAACTATCGTCGGCGGCGCCTCTGGATCTTCCACCTTACGGCAGCTCGCAAGAAACATGGACATCAACGAAATTCCATCGCCTAAAGCGTGATGGATTCGGAAAATCAAGCACTTATGGGCAATTAAGAAGTGTACTTCCCACAAGGGTTTGTCTGTGCTGAGTCCGGAAGTGTCCATGCACAACTCCGCCAAGTAATCGTTGATTGCCGATTCATCGTCGCCGGCAGTGGCGGAGATGGGGTTGGCGATGACCTTGATGTGGCGGTCGATGTCCACCTCGGTTCGCCGCCAGTGCTCGAATCCGCGATGGTTGCGGACCATGAGGCTGGTGAAGCGTGGGTGTTGGAGCATGAGAGAGTCGCGGATTAGGGGTTTGATGGAGTCGACATCAATGGGGTTCTTGACTCCGATGACGCAGTGGATTACCTGATTCGTGCTTGGCTGGAGGAACAGCCGACCGGCGGGAGTGAGAGGTTCATCGGAGTCGTTCGCCGTGGACCGCATGAGAGAATCAGTGATGCTGGGGGAGAGAAGCACAAGTTCTAACCTGCAGCCAATTTTAGTCCCGCTGTGTGTGAATTCTGACCCCAACTCTTTGCAGTTTATTTATTGTTATTATGAGCTGAGGCTTAAAGTTAAACTATATGAAAGCGATAATTAATTTAAATTGAAGTATGTAGCATTGCTGATAAATGTTGGAAGATTGATTGTTTTCCATTTCTGGCATGTGAGGCAGGCAGAGCCAGGCAAAGGACAACTGTGTTGGAAGATAATTGAAGTGTTTAGATAAAAACAAAATTATAATTTAAAAAGTATTTTTAAAAATTTGATTTAATTTAAAAAAAATACTTTTAGAAATTGCTTTTGGTTATTCAAACACCCTAATGTCATAGGTCATGAGATTGGTGTCAAGATTAGAAGGGTGTTTGAAATTGAGGATAGGCTAAAAATTGAGGCTCTCCGCTCTTTTTTCACCAAAAAAATAATAATAAATTCAAAGAGGCAATAAAGACAATAAAAAAGTTACGTTCCCTCGTCAACCACCGACTCTCCTAAAACTTGAAGGTTGATCAGATATAAAACTTAGTCTTCATATCATGGCCGACTTAGAGCTTGTTTGAAAATTAAAATGATTTATAAATAGCCTGTTAATTTATGAAATATAAAATAAGTATGAAAGATGGATTTTATCTTGACTTATATAAACGTGTTTATTGATCATGAATCTAAACAAATATTAGTTGAGTGATGATCAAAAGAAACAAACACTCCTGAAGCTTTAAAATAATATTTAGAGGGAATGTTTGTGCTACTATTATTTTTTTCAATAATTAGTCACAATTAATAGAAAACTACAATACTCCTTGATCCAGAATTTTCAAAGAAGGAAGAGGTTAAATCTTCATCGTGGAAGGATGGAGATCGTGGTTGTGAAAGGGGAAAGAGAGTTTTACTCACGGGCAAAATAAGAATTTGTAAAATATTACCAACACAAAGTGGATAGAAAAATATTCAATCACAGTGTAGATTTTTCAATAGCAAAGAATGGTGGTATTGTGTAATTTCATGTAAGATGAGATTGGGATTGGACTTCCCATTAACCATGCCAAACATGAACATTTTGTGTTGTGTTATCCCAATCTCAAGCTCTTAATCATACATACTACCTCCAGTTTTAATATAAAAGCTAATTGACTAATTTAACTAATATATTATAAAAATTTGTTAAATTAATTATTTATAATAAATAAGTGTTATCTTTTCTTAAATACCTTTGTTAATTATGTGTATTAGTTAAAACTACCATTTAATGGAATTATTCACATATGTAACTACTACAAGGACTGTATTTAAAAAAAATTAAGTATGGAAAACAAAGAAGTCAAACTAACTCTTATATTAAGAAGTGAAAGTAGTACGAAATAAGGTCTCGTATTTAACGCATAGAAGATGAGGCAAGTTAACTCTTTATTTAATCTGCTTAATTATTATTTATCTTGGAATATATGTTTTTTTTCAAAAATTAGTCGTTTAAAATAAATTTTAAAAAAATTCTTTATTCTTGCACCAGCATAAAAGAAACATAAATGAAAAAAAATGAAATATTTTTATTTGCAAATTCTGCCAAATATTTTTTCTGATTAATATCTAGGTATCTTTTTTTTTTTTGCAAGCATAAATATCCTCCTATTGAAGATAGTTCTGTTTAAGGCACTATCGGGTCAATGTGGACACCTCTTCAAATGAAATTTTGGTTTATTATGTTATAAGAGACTAGTTTCTTCTGTTAGACCCAACTATTGTTGGTATCCAGACATCTTATTTCGTACAGTAATAAATCTCTTTTTGGGTTGGGCTTGAATTGGGCCAGTGTTTATCACAACAAACCCAGAGTTGTTGTTATGGATCGGGTATCTCAGATTTTGGAAGCCCTAATCCAAGACTATATAATTCTTTATCTTACCACCTCGCCCTTTTAAAGCGGCGAAGGGACTTAGGGTTTTCGGAGACATAACAATGGAGCAATCACAAAATCAAGCGCTCGAACAAGTTCAGTGCTTCGGCCGCAAGAAGACTGCCGTGGCCGTCACCTACTGCAAGCGCGGCCGTGGGCTCATCAAGATCAATGGCTGCCCAATTGAGTTGGTCCAGCCGGAGATCCTCCGATTCAAGGCATTCGAGCCGATCCTTCTCCTGGGAAAGCACCGATTTGCTGGGGTCGACATGAGGATCCGTGTGAAAGGAGGTGGTCACACGTCGCAGATATACGCTATCAGACAGAGTATTGCGAAAGCCCTTGTTGCGTTTTACCAGAAGTATGTTGACGAGCAGAGCAAGAAGGAGATCAAAGACATCCTTGTTAGGTACGACAGAACCTTGCTGGTTGCTGATCCCAGGCGCTGTGAGCCTAAGAAGTTCGGTGGTCGTGGTGCTCGTGCAAGATTCCAGAAGTCCTATCGTTAAATGCTTCGCTTCAAGGGAAAAGGTCTCTGTGTCGATTTATATTTCAATTTCCGGTTCATGTTTCCTGCTGTGGAAGACTTTTGATATCGACTATTAGTTCTATAATTTTGGGCGTTTTTATTTTATGGATTGTTGAGATGCTATTATTTATATCGAGCTTTTTATTTAGGTTTCAACATGAGTATCAACGGCTCTAGTTAATTTTGCTTTGTGAGATAGCAGTGTTTGTGAATTCAAGGATGCTTAGATGCTTAAAATTTACTATGAGTTTCGTTTTTTCGTTGGGTAAGAATCGACAATTTGATTTGTTTAGCATCGGCGTAACGTAATATGAAGTATAATCTAATTCTTAGTGGAATGTAGCAACTTTGCTCAGTACACTCTTTTCAATGTACATTTAGCATGCTTTCAGGTCTAGTGTTTCATCCCTTTTGATTTGCTTGGTCTGGTTTCTTCGTGGTGGGTCCTGATTATGTTCATCGGCGGCTGATGATCCTTGTTCGATATATCTATAGACTGTGAATAATTATGGTCTCTATGCTTAGATTTATTATCTCTAACAGAAGAGATTGTGGTTATTGGTACCTGTTTCTGGAACCCATGTGCTGTGGTGCCGGGGTGGATGTGGTGCCGCTATTGTGTGAAGTCGAATCTTTATGCCGTGTAGTATGTTGCCATCCTTTCTTCATTAATGATTCAGTTTGTTTAGCCTAAATTTGCTAAATAGTGATATTGTTATGAATTTGGGGGGCAATATGAACCCATGGTTCTGGCGGACTATAGGGTCATCCTATTCTGAGGTTAAAAACATAACTTTCTCTTGCATCAGGATATTTTTAAGGTTTATCTGGATCTGGCGCATTCTTTCCACATATCATTTGGTACTTAATCTGGATGAGTTGTTTTTTTCTAGTGTGTTAAGATTGATTTATGCGTTAGCATTGAATTTAATTTTCCGTGGAAGTTTTGAAGGGATTGATTATGCTTTTACTGCCACTGCCCAATCGGTTTATGGTGCCAATATCCCGAATGAATGGGTGCCTTCTATCCTTGCGGTGCCAATCAGTGATTTTTCTGGGCGGCTATATAGTTGACCCGTTTTTCTAAGCATGACTACGATGCCAAGTTTGACTTAATTGGGCCGCTTAGTATGGATTTTAAATGTATAGAATTGTGGGCGGGATGAGTGTTTTCTCTTTTTAATCTGGATCTTTTAATGATTTGATTAGCTTAGATGTAATTGGCACTACTTTTGATCCTTAACATTCAGTGCCTGTTTGGCATCATTTATTTTGAGCTTATAAGTAGCTTATAAGCTCCATAAGCTCTATAAGCTCGATTGACACAATTGGGTCTGTTTGGATGAACTTTTTTGCAATCGGGTTTTTGTCTGAAAAGCTATAATAAGCTATAAGTTAAAATTAACAGCTTATGACTTACAGTTTATGGATTATAGCTTTTGAAATATGGAGAGAGAAAAAGTTAAGAAATTTATTACCTCTTTTGGTTCTTATTATAAGCCTCAAATAACTAATTTGTAGATAATAAAAAATCAGTTAAAATTAGTTGAAAATAATGAATAAGTTAGAAGTATATTTTTATTTTTAAATATGCTCTTAAAAATATACTTTTATTTTTTCATGTTTCACTTTATATTTAAAATATTTTTTATGATTTATTCATATTAAATTATTTTAATTTCATTGTATTATGTAAAATTATTTTTTTAATCATGTTTTATTATTTATTAAAACTCATCTATTTTGGTCATTTTACAACCAAATTTACTTTTACTCAATCATAATCCAAACAACCTTTTACTAATCTCACTTTTGCAATTTAGCTTTTCTGAACTCTAATCTAAACACAATTCAGCTTATTTAATTTAGTTTTTATTCAATTTCACTTCTTTATAAGCTACTTTTTTAATAAGCTACTTTTTTAATCGCTGATCCAAACGGACCCATAAGCTTCTCTTCCCAGCTTATGCTTTTCACCGGCTTTTGACTTATAAGCTAAGTAGACTAAAAGCTTATCCAAACAGAGACAAATTACAAATCGAGCTTATGGCACCAATAAGTTCCTTTTAAGCTCCACCAACGCCCTGCCAAACAGATACTCAATTTTGTCGAAACTATAAATATAATATTCTAGTTTATTTTGTTTATCATATTTATTTATTTCTAAGATAGATTTTGTAGTAATTATATGTATTAAAAGTCTTATCAAATAGTAATTCTAGTTAATATATATGATTAGTAAAGATAATTTGAGAAAGATAATATTTATTTATTGTAAATAATTAATTTAATTAATTTTGTTTAATCTATTTGAATTAGTTAGCTTATTGTTATATTAAGGATTTAAATAGTATTTAAAAAAAAGTATTATTGTAGAAGTACTAACACTAACCGTTAAAATTTAAGTTGAACTGTTTGCTTGAATGGTCTCCAAAGTGAAAAAGAAATGAGGTGGCGGTGAAAAATGGTTTGAAAACAGCGCTTGAACCTCATCTTTATCCAGGGATAGGACTAGGTTTATGATTTTTTTATTAGGTTAAAGTATATCTAACATCTCGAAATGTTTTGATGAGTGCATCCAGCACTTTAAAATATTTTGTGGTTTATCCAGCACTGTAAAATATTTGTTGATGCATCCAGCATCTTAAAATGTTTTTGTTAGGTGTGTCTAATAGTCAAATATTTTTTGGTGCATTCAGCATCAAGGTAAAAAAAAAATACTAAAATATTTTCGGGGTTCTGGATGTAGCACAAAATGTTTTAAGGTGCTAGATGTATCTGAAAAAATAATTTGGGATGTTGGATGCATTTTAATTCTTTTTTTTTTTGTAAACATAATTTGGTTTAAAGTTCGATAGTTTTGCCAAGTGAGATTAGTGAGTGGGAATTAGATTTTTCAAACCATCAATTTGATGTGTGACCGTGATTTCCACCGATATTTAAAAGAGGAAGACGTATTCGTATTATCTGCACAATTCAATATGCATTCTT